TGCCCTTCTTTGTATCTTTTTTACCCTTTTTATCATCTTTTTTCGGACCTGCTTTTTCATCTTCAGATTCTGCCAGTGAATCCTTGCCCTTCTTTGTATCTTTTTTACCCTTTTTATCATCTTTCTTCGGACCTGGTTTTTCATCTTCAGATTCTGTAGGTGAATCCTTGCTCTTCTTTGTATCTTTTTTACCTTTTTTGTCATCTTTCTTTGAACCTGGTTTTTCATCTTCAGATTCTGTGCCTGAATCCTTGCCCGTCTTTGACCCTTTTTTGTCTTTTTTTGAATCTGTTTTTCCAGTGTCTTTTTCATCTTTAGTTCCTTTACTTATATCTTTTTCTTTCTTTGAATCTTTCTTACCCTTTTTCACTTCGTCTTCTGAATCTGATGTGTCCTTTACTTTCTTGACTTCTTTACCTTTCTTGCCTGTTTCTGGAGATAAAGGTTTCTCTAAATCTGCTTTTTTAGAATCCTTTATGGTGGAGAGAGTTGGTTGTTGTGGGGGCTGCCTCCTGGCAGCTAAATAAACAGATGGTCTCTCAGAAATTCTCATTAAAGAACGATGCATCCATAATGGCTGTGTATGACCTCTTAATTTTTCACCATCAATTTTCTGAAATATTGGTTATAATGATGAAAACTTGTGGTGAGTTACACAGTTTTTACTAACAGATACCAAATATATATTAAATTCTACTATAAAAAAGATTTTAGATTTTGATAAGTGGATCAATTATAGATTTTATACTTTGTTCTGCTTTTTAAATTTATCTTCTTTTAAACTAATGAATAAGCATGTCTCATTTGGGACCTACTTTCAATTTAGGGGATCTTCATAACTTTCTCAAGATTTTGTGTTAAAATTGGTAGAAGCCTCTATTAATTCATGGCATATCAGAACCTCTCTTCATAATCTAGAGAGGTTTTATGTGGCTTATTTTTTTTTAAACTGTGCGTTCTTGAGCATTATTGGGATAACTTGTCTATCCTCCATTTCTAGACTAACTGAGAAACTATTTATTCTTTAATATCTAATACAGGTTGAGTATCCTTTATCCAAAATTCATAGAAGAAAAAGTGTTTCAAATTTCAGACTATTTTGGAATTTGCAATATTTGCATATAGACAATGAGACATCTTGGGGATAGGACCCAAGTCTAAACACAAAATTTATTTATGTTTTATGTACACCTTATACACATACTCTGTGGGTAATATTTTACAATGTTTTACATAATTTTGTGTATGAAATAAAGTTTGTATACCTTAAACTATCTGAAAACACAAAAGGCCAGGTGTAAAATTTTCCATTTCTGGCATAATGTTGCTGCTCAAAGACTTTTGAAGTGTGGAGCATATTAGAGTTTTGATTTTTGGATTAGGAATGCTCAAACTGTAGTTTCAGGTTCAGGCACATTTTGGTCTCTATTATCACTTTCAAGGTCTCTGAAAGTTAGAATACTGTCATTAATGGTAAAAGCCTGAAACTTTTCTTCCTTAGCAGGATATAACTTTAGTATCATCAGATAGGTAACTGAAATAATAAAATCTGTAACATTCAGTGCATGTTAATTTGAGAGGAAAGATATATTGTATTTTTAACACCTAACCAAATATTTGCAAAAACTAAGTGGCAAAAATAGTTAATTTTGATAAAAATGTTAACCAAGAAAAAGGGAAAATAAATTCAGTAACAAATAAAAAAGAAGGAGAAAAAAGAACCTTGATCACTACTAATGGGATACACTTCCTAAAACAAACAAGAGTTGATGATACATTTATTTTGTGAAAGCTTTTCTTTGGACACTTTCAGATCCCATGGTGACTCCATAAACATTGGGATATATTTATCTTCCAATGCTCAGAATCCTGACTGTGTTACAGGAGCTGAGGAAATATTAAAACTTCATCAATGTATAATGTAATTCCATTACTCTAATGAGGGGGTTTCACATTCTATAATATAATGGGGTAACTGAACAAATAGTGAATATAAACTAAGAGGGGCAATTTTATATAATGGAATGCAAATAAAATATATCTACTTTCTCCAAGTAATAGAATTTGAATTAGTTTTAACTGTCCTGTCTAATGTCCTGTCTAATGTGGCATTTAACAGCTGCGTGTGAATTTACTTTAACTAAGTTTAATTTAAATGTAAAATTTAATTCCTCGGTTGTACTAATCTAATTTCAAGTGTTCAATACCACATTGGACTGCAAATATATAAAATATGTTCATAATCTCAGAAATCTTGTTGGTCAGCTGTGATTTATAATACATATAATGATACATGATTTTACAGGCTTATTTGTAATAAGTTATTGCTTATTATTAATAATTATAATTACCTCTTATAACTATAATTTCTTACTGTCATTAACACATGACTACTAATTACTAATAAATATATAATCTTTTAAATACTTACAGGAACTGTATCATCTCTTAGTTGGGAAGGTCTTGATCTCCTTCTTTTTCCTGGCCGCTGTGGTTTGGGAAATGCCAGAGCAAAGTGTTGCTGATTCCATGATTTTTTGCTTAATTCACTAACTAAAATATAAAAGGTAAATCATACACTTTGGAGTAAATAGTTAGAATTTTATCAGAACAGCAACAACAGTAAGTGTGATACATATTATGGAAACAAAAATTCAAATTATGGCTTCATTGCTTTGGTAATATTTAATTTTTTATCAATATGAGAAAATAATTGATTTTTCTATTTTGACCAGTTTTTCAGATAACTATATAAAGTAGTCATTGTGAGTGAAGCTAATACAGTCTATAATATAAATGGAAAGAAACAGTTTTACTGCTTCCTTTTATATATAAGTATGTATATATATTATATAACATTATATATATATACATATATATGTGTGTGTGTGTGTGTGTGTGTGTGTGTGTGTATATATATATTTATCTCTTACAACCTAGGTTTTTGCTTTATGCTGTGTTGGTTCAAATATAATTCTATTGAGAACAGAACATATGCTAACTACTTCTGCAGTCTTCAAAGTACTTAGCTTGGCTGACATACACTGTTCAGTAAATAAATGATTTGATCTAAGTGTTAAGGCTTAAGATCCCCTTAGTTAGTAATCAATTTCCAAGCTACATGAGTAAGAGGCAACCATAGTTAATGAAGAAACTTGACAAATAAAAAATCTACAGAGTAATGAGGAGGGTGAAATTACCTAGAGATTGTAGTAGAAATGATTAAGTATATTTAAATTACCAGTGAAAGATATCACTGTATGCAAATATTTTCATATTACTGTGTGTAAGAAAAAATAGACTGATTCCGTGACTCTCCAAAAACGATATCAGAATCAATGGAAAAAATATACAAATAAAAACCATACTTAAGTTCAATGTATGAGGGGAAACCACGCTATATGGTAAGTCTTTTTACATCAGATAAATATGCCTTGTCTGGTAATAAAATGTTTTTTCCAATTATAGGCCAAAACAATCTATCAGGAATATAGTGACATAGGTGTTCTGACATAGGTGTTAAGTTTTTTATCCAATTTTTACATTGCTTTTCTTTAAACAGTAAGATTATCTCGTTATATGATTTCTAACATGTAAACATATCCAACATTATGCTGCTGAACATATTTGCTTAATCTCTTTAAATTTAAAACAAAACAAAGCACATTTAGAAAGTGTTTACTGAGCTCACGAGATGATTTCTTAAGAAAAAAAGTTGATTATTAATTTTATTTCATGGTAGTTTTTGCTTCATCACTTGCTTCTACATATAATCATGCATGTTTTACAATAAATATTAAACTCTTTCTTACCTGGAATGTAATTATCATATGCCCCAAAATTTATTTTTTGGCTATTAAAATAAAAAAAAAAGGTTTTAATTAATTAATACAAAATCACTCTATTTAATGGTCACTAATATACATAAGCACTTGCCACCAACAACGAGAGAAATATTCTGTATTCTAAGATTTCCATTATCATGTAAGATTGCTTTATCCCCAGGATATTAAAGGCGAACAGATGTGTGGTCAGACTCCAACAGAACTAAACCATGGTGGAGCTATATATTTAATGTATGGTACAGTAGAACCATTGTTGACAATATGTGTGTGTAAATAGATAGATTCAACTCATCAGCTTGCAGCATCTGAAATATATACTTTTTTTAAAGTCACGAAGTCATGTTTCAGTTATTTTTCTTACCTCATGCTCCAAATTCTTTTGCAATTAAATTTGAACCAAAGTATCACTTTGCAAACACTATGTTTAAGTAAAAGTGGATTTTCAAAATATTCTTAGAATTGAACCAAATCTAAGTCGTTAAATAATATGTGTGTGTGTGTGTGTATGTTTCAGTGTATACTATTAGTATTATATGGAATTTTATTGTTTTTGTTCTCTAAGGAAATCTGAGAAAATAAAACTGCATTACAAATTATTTTTCATCTTTAAGCTCCCTTTTGTTTTATTACTATATGAATATGTTTGTTCCCATGAAGGGCAATTTTATCATCTAATTTTTATTCGTTTGTAATGGAGACCAATATTAAGATCTGGTAGAGAAATATTCTATATTGTTCCATTATTTTATGGAAATAGAGCCATTTTTGATCATGGGTGAGTTTGAGGCTTACACATACACCCACACAACCACATAAACACTCACATAGTATTGAATGGAGTTTGGAGGTATTGTCCTCCCAGAACTCATGTGGAAATCTCATCCCCAATGTAGCAGTGTTGGGAGCTGTTTGAGTCATGGGGGCAGATCCCTCATGAATGGATTAATGTTCTCCCTGGGGAGTGGAAGTAGTGGTGAGTTTTCTCTCTATTAGTTCCCATGAGAGCTAGTTGTTTAAATGATCCTAGTGCCTCTCCCCCGTCTCTCTCTTGCTTCCTCTCGCCATGTGATCTGCTTGTACCCGCCAGCTGCCAGCCATATTCTGCCATGAGTAGAAGCAGCCTGAGGCCCTTGCCAGATGCAACTGTCCCAGAATCGTAAGCCAAATAAACCTCTGTTGTTTATAAATTATCCAGTCTTAGCTATTCTGCTATAGCAACACAAAAATGGACTAATACAGTGTTTCACTTTATTTTTCTTATAAATGTAAAAACTTTGCACATTTGAAGAGTTGCATCACCAGCACAAAACTTTGCACATTTGAAGAGTTGCATCACCAAGATTGCAGAGTACAAGATCCCCAGCATCACTCCCATCAATAAGAACACAACTAGCAATGATTAAAGCACAGAATTGTCATGGTGAATTCACTATAACTAGAGAGAAAAAGTGGAGATGCCCGCTGAGACTGAAAGTGAGAAAAGGTGTGATGGACAGGAGGTCCATCCACTTCCCCAAGCCAGTATTGTGTAGCTCAGAGAGAAGCTTCCCAGAGCCTGCTGAGGAGAAAATGGCTACAACTTCTGGGGGGAAAAACGTCCTTTCAAAATGCTCCTTCCTATCCTCCATGCTGGTGTAATGCTGTTTACAAAGTTCCTCAGCTCTTGCACAAGTGGGAGGGACATTGAATGGTAGGAAAAAAGAATCACTTTGGACCCACTCCATCCTCTTTTCTAGGCTGGTATGTTCACAGAGGATGTCACTAGAT